AATTAAAGAAATGTAACTACTTTGCATCATTTTTTTTTTCCATCACAAAAATTAATTTCAACATAGTTCAAAAAACCCATCATTTTCAAAGTTTTTTTAACCTTCCTGGGGACTACATTATCTATATTTTAATTTTGTAGCAAATTAGTGTTTGCTTTTGTAAGACCAATTTTGGTTTTGTCAATTATAAAATAGATTTAACAAATTCAATCCAAATACACTATACGAATGTTGCCCTCTTGTTTTTCCCAGCAAACTAATGTCTGCCCACAACTCACCATCTGCATGTGACAAGGAGCAAATAAAATAAATAATAACACAACAAACTAAAAAGAGCCTGCAAAGAGTTGCATGTACATTCCCTGGCCAAAAGTTGTGCATAACATAACAAGCATGTGACAGAACAGTGCCACCTTGTGGCGTGTATACTCGCATATCGATTGCAAAGTCCTGCAGAATCATACATAGATGTCCACACCAAAATAAAATAAATGCGAATTGTCTCGAGACTTTACCATCCAAAAAAAAAAAAAAACAATACAAATACACATAATATACTACAATCTCATGATAACCAAATATTAAAATGACAATCCAACCACAAAGGCCTAGTCCAAGTCAACAGCACCACCATTCCTGAACAGCCATGTCCCCCATTCACGATCCCTGTCAACATTGGCCGGCGTGCAGGCATGCTTCTCTGTCAACCAGTTGACAATGTAATTATGGGGGAGGGCCATGATGATGTCCCGATTGTCGGGTGAATCCATTATGCCGCATGCGAATGAGAACAACTTACCGCCAGGCTCTAATCTAGGCATGCTCATAAGCCGTGCAAGACAGTCCCCCACTGTGTTGTCACCTTTACCGGTGACAACATATTGCATGATATTCAGCTCCCTGCTTTGTTTGCTCACTACTTCCACGAGATTGTCCATGCTACTAGCGACAGTACTAGGCGCTGCCCGCTTGCGCCGTTTTGGATTGGCTGATCCATCCACAGCTGACTGGGGGAGAGCATCCTTAAAGAGGCTACTATCAACCACGTTCTCCCCGACAGTGTCATGGCCCGGCTGTGGTGGTGTGCCTGCACTGAGAGGTCCCATCCCGCTATCTACGTCCATGGCATTGGTCGTAACAGCAGCATCATCGCACACTTCTGTTGGAGTCCATGCATGTTTCTCAGTCACTGCTGCGCCAGAGTACACCCGCTCCATGAGATCCACGTGCTCTAGAGGCTTACTCTTGAATTTAGCACATCGGTTGTTCATCTGTGAAGGAGAAAACACATATGTCAGTACAGCTTGAAATGTAATTACAAAACAATAAATATAACTCTTGAATTAAGTGTACACATTGCACGTTGTGGGTTACCCAACATATGTTAAAGTAGTATGTTCAACAAGTGCTTTGATTTGGAAAAATAGTTATGTGAACAAAATATAGCAACTAAAATCAGCGATACTAGTACAACAGTACTGGGGAACATAAAAGTTTTGTGAAAACATACCGTTTGCATTTTGGCCCACCAATGGTCAGGTGCAGTGAACAAGCCTGTCTCATGGTCGTACCCAAGCCCTGTCAAGCCGTGGCTGGCATTCTCCAACTTCTTCCAGGCGACCCAATCTTTCTTCAAGTTGTCAAACTTGTTTTTCATTTGTTTGGCTGAATGTAGTAGGCCAGTTTTCTGTAGAAATTTGTTTGCTACGTTCTTATACCCTGCCATGGACAATCCGCACGGTTGTCGATTACCACCTTCCATTTTAGCAATGATGAGTTGAAGAAACAACTTTGTATTGTCGCTGTTGAATTGGCATTTGTGGATTGGCTGGGGTTGGGTTGCTGTGACAGCGTTACGTCGAGACTTTGAAAGGGTATGGGGTGATGATCGATTTGTTGCCATGAGTAGTGTTGTCCTGCTTGTAACATTTACAATGCAATATGAGAAAGAAATGAAGTATAGTACATATTGCTTGCATGGCCAAAAAATAACCAAATAGTAAACACAATTACTGCAGTAATAACAACAAACAGTACAACACTTTCCGAAAGACAAAGTCCATTTGTACTACACGTTGGGGAAATCTTATGTAACAAGACCAAAACATCTAACTGACAGCAAATTACATATGTCATACAAAAAGTAACTACACAGCAATATCTATGACAATACATCACATCCGAAACAACAACACCAAAACAACGACGCACAAAAAATTGACGGCGGTCCTAAGCATACGTAGGCTCTGATCTATGCGCGCAACGTTCGCTCGTAACCCCTGATCGACATCATTATGTGGCTGGTCAGTACGCAAACTGGTGCTGCGAAACTCGTCACACCAACCAACCCACGACGCACATCTCTGCTGGACAAAATTGCAGTATATAGTTAGCATGCATACTATACGGCACAACCACAAATGAACGACGACATGACTAAGTGTGTAAGAGAGTGACAACACAAACGCACCGTAGTTCTAGGGCAAATGTAGAACGCACGACCAGGTTTTTGACAGATCTTGATATCTTTACAACGCAATGTCCAAACCCACAATCACACATCCTCGGTAGCCATAATGAAGTGGCACTTGACGTGGAGGACGCCATCTGTATACTCCTTTGATTTTTTTGTTCATGTTATAAAGGTGAACTAATATAATCTACTGTGCGGAATGAAAGACAGACACTCTCAACAAGTTCATTTTGAATTTAGGTTAATACTTGAACATGCTAGTTTAGTGGTGTGTCAGGACTCTAGCCATTTTGTTGTCTAAATTTTTCCGTACTGTCGTTGTCTTGTGTTGTCAAGTATTGGTAAACTACTTCAAGAATATATGGGATTTATGTTTTACGAATTTCTGTAGTATGGGAAGTAAACTAAAACATCAAATGAACATGAAAATGACCACCTCCACAGTACTATATACAATCCTCCCTATCCCAACAACACAATACACAATCAACAGTTTTATGTTTTATCATGTTGATGGTAACTAGTAAGTAGGTAAATGATAATAGTTGCTCAACATTTGTTCATGTGTGTGAACTTAATGGTTAAGGTAAAAAAATTCTACTAGCATTACCATTCTACTACCACATAATAATTTATTTGTGGTCTGTCAAACATATGTTTAAAGAAACAAAAATTGTACTAGCACAGAATCTGTTGCCCTCTTCATTCTTCACGTTTCATATAAATTTTGTTGAATTAATTTCACCTACCAAAACCATACTGGGTTCTTGTTAATGTTTGCGGTGCACAACCAACTTGTTCCTTACTATATTGTAATTTTTTAATAGGTTATTTTTGGAAATGTCGTAATAAATTTGGACCGAAGAGTTGTTTGTTTTCAACACATATCATATCACCAACCTTTTATACTTGAGGCATATCTCTATTATAACTTTTCTATAACTACAACCTTATTTTATTGCAGCTAGCCTCGTAACACTGCCATGAGAACAACAAGTGGTTCTCATATCGACACCAAAATGGTCATAGTATTATTTTGTTCACACAAAACATTGATATGTAGGTGTTTCAGGTGAGATTAACAAAAACAAATAATTTAAAAAAAAAATGTAATAAAAATGGCCTGCTTGATTTAATAAGATCATATCCATGGGAAATATATATATACATATCAAATTCCACTAAACATGCAAGGCACCAGGGCAGAATGCTTTAAAAGAACACAAGTGACCCCATATCTAATTGTTTTATCAACCATGTGAATGTTAACAATCGCTGAAATTAATTAATTAAATCACTCAGCCCAATTTGGAAACTATACAAACAATTTCATGATCAAAAGCTCTTCCCGACAACATCATAAAAGTAATTTCAAGCAACAGAGTATGGTGTCCAATCCATGAAAGAGTGCAAGTTTCATACAATAACTCCACTTCACCGTATATAGTACATATATATATATATATATATACACTACACTTCACTTAATGGGATTCATTAGAATTCTTGGAAAAAATTGATCTAATTTGCAGTTGTTCTAAGTACACAGAACACCTTGGTGTTTCAGATCGGAAAAACATTTATTTTTTGACATCCGAAATCACAAGTTCAAACCAATATGGAGCAACCATTATCAGTGTTATATATCACACAGCAGGTCGTCCATCATTCGTGAACAACTGCTGCCATGGTTTTGGGTCTGTCACTACTTGTGAGAAGACAACAACGGAAGACGGTTTTTGGCTTACCTGATGGTGCAGATCCGGCGAAGGCGAGGACGTGGACGACGAATCTGGCGGCAGCTTCGGCGGGAGACGGCAAGGTCGTGGGTTGTTCGACGGAGTTACATAGCGCAGCTTCGAAGAGGACGAAGCAATCGTAACCAGAGGTGGGAGGAGGCAAATCTGACCTCGTTTTGCCCTAGCCCCAATTTACATGAGAAATGGCCGAGTTGCCTTTTTGGGTCTTCCCAAATGGTGTCTTCAGCGTTTTTGCACACACTAGTGTTTTTTCCCTAGCCTAAAAACGCAACTTTTTATCAAAGTTTCCAAAACGGCACTTAAAGAATCAACAACAAACCCATTTATCGCCATCTCCCCTTCTCTCATTGTCACAGGTCAACCACCCTTTATATTTCTCCTCCACCTTTTTTGTTCGTCTTTCCTTCATAGACGGGTTATGGTTCTAAAACCAATGTGAGAGAGAGAAGAAAAAAAAAAAAAAAAAAGAGAAATGCGAAGGAAAATAATAATAATAATAGAGACTTTAAAACATACTAAATGTGAAACTGTAGGTAAGTCTTACATCCATATAAAATATTTAATAAAAAATTTAATAAGACTTTTGAAATCTTTAATATTTTAAATAAATAAATAAATTAAAAAAAAATAAAAAAACGCAACAACAACTGAACAAAACCACGTGGTTTTGGCCCACTGCAGCAAGCACGGCAGAACCACGGCAGCGGCTATAATTTGTCCATCCACGTGTATAATTTCAATAGGTGAGTGTAAGATACTGGACAGCTATGATGTGGCCTGGCGATAAGACCCCCAAAGCGAAGGGAAGGGGAGAAATGGAAAGCAGGAACTGGAACTCCAATGGCGTTTTGTGCCCACGCGAAGCTTAACAGCCTCTGCGCCGTCTCCTCCTCCTCCTCCGCCACAGCCAGAGTCACAGTCACAGTCCTAACCAGCAGCACCGGCTGTGCCCGTATGAGAAATGGAAGACAAACCAATTGTGTGATTGTTCGCGCGGCCTCCTCCTCATCATCATCGTCGTCGTCGTCGTCGACGGAGGTCTCCAGAAGCAGTGTTGGAACCATCCCCAAGACGACATTATACCAAGAGGGTGAGCTGGAACGCCCCAGATGGACCGGTGAAACCCCTCTCTCCCGTCTCGTCGGAGCTCTCATCTCCTTCAAACCACTCTACTCTCTCCTCAAGCTCGGCGCCAGACAAGTCCTCATCAGGTCCCCTCTCTCTCTCTCTCTCTCTCTCTATATATATATATATATATGTACACACACACATTTATGAATCTAAATATATATATATACACACATTTGTGGGGATGAACAGTACAGCAGAGAAAACAAACATACCTTGGCGAGATATGAGGAGGGAGATTCTGGAATCGGAGGTTTACAATGAGATGGACAGCATCCAGAACAACTCCATTGTGTACCCTGACTGTAATTTTCTCAATTTCCCAAACTCCCTACTTCTTTTTTATTTATTTATTTTTTATTTTTAACTATGTTTTGAAATTTTCCCTCAAGTTGGATTTTCCGACTCTTTATACAATGCCTATTTGAATAGTATTTTTAACACGGGAAGAGACAATTTTGTATGGTGCATTGAGCTTAAAAAATACAAGAGTTAGTTGAATTTGGTTGTTTAATTGCATCTAGGGATCACAAATTTGACAAATTACCTCTATGGGCCAGTGCCTGTTGTTGTTGAAGAAGGATGGTTGTCATTTTTGTCACAAATTTGGTTGCTTCATTTTCGTCATAAATTTGGTTGCTTCATTTTCATCACATATTGACGAGGGCTTTCATTTTGTTGTTGATGGAGGTTAAATGGTTTCGTTCGAGTGCTCCTTGTTGAATTAATTAGATTGTACCTTTGTTCTTAGCTTTCGTCAAATGTATCCATTCCTTCAATGCCATTATTGTTGATTTTTGGTTCCATAAACCAGTCAATTGGCACTGCTTAATCTTCTAGAATATTTTCCCTTCAATGTGTCTGATGTAAAGCAAAAGCATCCTTCTGGGGATTCAGGCCCAAATTGTGAAGATTTTTTTCTCTATAACCGTGGCTTCAGTTTTATGAGGATGTAATTACATTTCTAAGTAGCAATTTGTATTTGCCAATGTTATGTTAAGAGAAACATTTGTAATTATGCTTTAATACTTCATGAGAAAACTTAATGGGATCATATTGGTTCAATTCTTTTCTCCTTTTGATTCAGTATACAAAAATATTGGATTATTCTTTTGTCGCAGCAGTAGGCTGAAATATTTTTGTCTTGTAATTGCAGGTAATATAAACAACACTGTTACATAAAAGTAGAGGAAACCTTTCTCTATGTTGATAAAGAAATATATAGTTTTTTTTTAATTTTCAATTTTATATATTTATTTATTTTTAAAGAAATCTGAACTTATCACAGTAGCCAACAAGTTGGTGCTTATCAACCTATATGAACACATACCCATTGTTTGTAAGGGATAAAAGGAGAGTCAGAACTTTGGTCTTTTCTTCAAAAATTTTAAACTAAAATAATTAATTTATTAAAGAAATGAAAAAGGAGAACACTTAGCATGGGGCCTGTCACCACCCGAACCCACACCTAGAGGTCTAGGCCGTGACCAGCTAGTAATCCCATATTACCTCTGGCCTCAAAGACAAAACTGATAATTAAAAATAATGACTGGGCACTACGGAAGCAATAACAAAAATACAACCATGTCCATGGAGCGGTGCATACATGAGATTTTCATAAGTAATTAAAACTTCAACCTTCTTCATAGATGTGATCACATAGTTATATCAACATCTTAAACACTTATATAAAATATCCATACATAACAAGTTTCAAAAACAAAGGAAAACTAAACATAATAACTTGGTTCACAAGGTTGACACAACTTGGCTCCACATGAGACCAAGATTGCCCCATCACGGAGGCACTCTGAAGCGACTTGACAGAAGGGTGGACTCCCGAGGTTGCTCTAAGCTTGACGCTTCAATTGCTCACCTATATATATAGGGGAAGGGGGTGAGCTAAAACCCAATGAATAATACTAGTAAAGGTTAATGAATGATGTCTATTGTAACACAAACTCGTATCACATGGGTTTCGAAGCAAATCATAACTGAATACTTATCGTATCAAAGTTCACAAATCATAATCATATGTGATACATCCAATAGTGCAACAAAGGGCTCGAAGGCATAGCAAAGGGACCACATGGGTCTAACGAAGGGACTATATAGGTCAAGCAAAGGGGCAACTTGAGTCAACATCAGAGATCTCTGTGCACATATAACAAAGGGCCATGGTATTGTTTCTCTTGGGTGAGGGTCTTATAGCAAAGGGTCACGGTATTGTTTTTCCCGGACGAGGATCTTATAGCAAAGGACCATGGTATTGGTACTCCCAGGTGAGGGCTACACTAAGGATGCCACAATTACATTTCAAAAGAGACAATCATTCATTTGTATCAAAATAGCATTCCAAAATAATGATCTTGCAGTAAACCAAAACACACTTTCATAACATATCTTTACAGAGATACTACTCACAGTGGGCTGGTACTGATGTTAAACCTCGGTTGACCACCTACACAAAACACAAAACACATAACACAGATACACAATGAAGCACAAGGTCGAAACAGATAATGTATCTTAATTTGATTCTCTGACGTGTATTTCTATCTTATTCCATGATTAAGGATGTTTAAATGATGCAAAAGAATGCCTAAAAGGGCATGAGGATGTAAATATGCATTTATAAGCGTTAGTCAAAACTTGTTGAAAACAGTGTCTTCGCTCGAGCGCACACTTGGCCACTCGAGTGGTGTGGCTTGACTACAAAAGTACTGGATGCTCAAAATGTGCCCTCGATGATCGATCGAGCCAAGTGCTGAACAAAGATGAGTTCGCTCGAGCGCACACTTAGTCTTGAGCCAACTGCCAAAAGTTTGTAAAAATACTGGATGCCTGCGATGTTCGCTCGAGCCAAGGATCCTTTGCTCGAGCGAATTGGGCAAATTTTAGGTTTTTCAGAATTGAGTTTGAAGTTCAAAAACACTCTTTTCTTGCTCAAAGCTTGCATGGTTAGTCTTAAAAGCTTAGAAACTCTTTATAAAGAATGAATACTTGGAAATTATGAAACCATGATCTCAAATTCTCTTTCAATTCTTCAAAACAAAGTTCAAAACATTATGTTCTTGTCACGCATGTAGGAAACTCAACACTTTTCTTTACAAAACATGTTTATATAAGATGTTGAGTGTAAAATCATGGAGAATCTCAAGAAATAACTTGTGTAAATCCCATGTATGTATGAATTTGTAGAAAGCTAAGTTCAAATATGGAGAATTACGCATGCATGTAAACAATTCATTTAAATTCACTATACTCATGGGGCAAATTTTAGGTTTTTCAAAATTGAGTTTGAAGTTTAAAAACACTCTTTTCTTGCTCAAAGCTTGCATGGTTAGTGTTAAAAGCTTAGAAACTCTTTATAAAGAATGAATACTTGGAAATTATGAAACCATGATCCCAAATTCTCTTTCAATTTTTCAAAACAAAGTTCAAAACATTATGTTCTTGTCACGCATGTAGGAAACTCAACACTTTTCTTTACAAAACATGTTTATATAAGATGTTGAGTGTAAAATCATGGAGAATCTCAAGAAATAACTTGTGTAAATCCCATGCATGTATGAATTTGTAGAAAACTAAGTTCAAATATGGAGAATTATGCATGCATGTACACAATTCACTCAAACTACACTCATGGTGATTCTAACTCTTTTCTTTCAAATTCATGCAAATGGTCCTACAACTTGGTGAATTCATCTTCCTACATGGATTATTTTCATGAATTATGGGTAAAGATCTTACCTAGAGCTTGAATTTGGCTTTAGATTAGCTTAACCTCTTCAAACTCTCTTGAATTCCCTTGAATTCCTCCTTTCTCTCTCTAAATTGTTGAGCTCTCTTCTCCTCTCTCAATTTTTCAGCTCAAGAGTTGTAGAAAATGAAGTCCTAAGCTTGACTAACTTATATATATATATATATAGATGGATTAGGCTTAACTAATCAAATGGGATTAAGACAAATCAATTGGGCTTAAGTCTAATCAGTTGTAATTAATTTATTCTAATTATTTTGATCCGAATCAAATTTTAATTAAATTTATCACATGGTTCTAGATAATTCAATTAGCCTATTGAATTTGTCAATTTTGGATTCTGGATCCGTATGGGCTTTCAATTTCGAATTCTAGGTCAACATTTAAACAAATAATTCACAAACAAATAGATAAGCATCAATTAAGCACATAATCATGCAAATATGCTCAATGCAATAATATTTGAAAATAATAATAATACGGAGGTCAGGGTTGTCACAGTGCCAATCCTTGAAAAGTCCGAAGACAACTGAAAAATCATTGTAAAAAATAAATCAGAAAGTTTTGAAAAGAATTGGTAATTCTATATGCAGTTCTGATGTTTCATTTTGGATTGCTCTACTGCAAGAGGAATTGATTCATGATGTCTTGATTGTCTTCTGAACAGATTATCTCAATCCTTTCCATGCATATGATGTGGGCAACCTCTCTTGGCTGGTAAATATCTATATCTTTCTGATATTATATAAATGGTTATTATTGACTGTATTTGTGGTAGCGAAATTATGTGAATGCATTTTGTGTTTGTGTATGTGTTTGTTCTCTTGTTTGCTTGCTCCATATTTTTTCATATCTATTTATGAGTTATTAAGAGACAGCAGGAAGAATGATGGTATTTACCATATCTGTTTGACCTTTTATCAGCTATTTTATGAGTTATTCACAGAACCATTTGGATGTCTGATTAGTTTTAAGTTTACACAGAAAAAGTAACAGTGTCCTTTAGCCTATGATTTATGCTGACAAGGGGGAGTATTTTAAAGTATTGGCCTCATGAACTGTACTTCTCCTTCAGATAATTGAAAATTTGTCCTTTAAAAAGTTGAAAATTTTGTCCCGCGTTATGAGATTATATAAAATTTGTTCTCATCTTTGTAAAATTAATTCCAGGGTTGTTATGACTGAAAAATAACTTGTTATGTATTGAGAATTATGTGTATGTAGATAACTTGCGAGTACCTACCTATTCAAAAGTAACATATTTGTAATAACCCTTTCAAAATTGCACATCTTAATTGCAGGCTGCAGCTGAAGCAGAGGCAGCAACTATGTCAATGATGAGACGAACAATACCCGATGCTTCTTCACTAGATGAAGCAAAACAAATAGTTCGAGGAAATTGGCTTCAGGCAATTGAACAACATCATCAGAAGTATTCAGGAAATGCCATGGTTAAAGACATTCTTGATGTCGGGTGCTCTGTTGGTGTAAGCACTAGATATCTTGCTGACAAATTTCCTTCTGCTAAAATCACAGTGAGTACAAACTTTATTTCTGTGCAATTTGTTGAAACAATATTTCCATATGATAGTGCTGGAAGTGATAAACTTACCATTTTGAAATCTTCTAATGTCTATCATGCCTCGGTCTTTGTGCATATTATCATTTGTTGATCTCTTGATCCATCCGTTACAGGGGCTGGATCTATCACCTTACTTTCTTGCTGTTGCTCAATTCAAGGAAAAGCAAAGCACCCCAAGAAAGAATCCAATCAGCTGGGTACATGCAAATGGTGAACACACAGGCTTGCCAGCCAAATCGTTTGACATTGTATCAATTGCTTATGTGGTATGTATTGTTGCCTACAAATAATAACTGGTTTGCAGAGTGACATCAATTTCTTACTTCCAATAAGTACATAAACTTAGTATATTTCCCAGTGAGTTGTGTTGTTACTCCAAACCAAACCAAACTAAAACTTGTGTCCTAATCATGTGGGTCGGCTACATGAATCAATTTACACGATTCTGCTCATATACTAAGTTCAATTAAATAAAATCATATCATCTATGAAACACAGACACTTCAAAACAAGTGCCGTATTTGTGTCAGACACATGGATACTTCGGGGACACGTATGGGACACACCACATTATTTAATTAATTTATTTCCTGGGGACACTTCGGGGACACACTAAGGACATGCCAAGTTCTCTTTTCCTTCATTTTATTTAGTGTTTTTGATGAATGTTGAATGTTTATTATTTTTTTCTTAGATTTAAATAATTAATAGATCATCCATAAAAATAAAAATAAAAAAGATAAAAACTATAAGTATTAATTTAAAAGTGTTTTTTTTTAAACAAATAAAAATAGAATTAGAGTTTGTTTTGGTTAATATTGAGTGTTTGTGGATGCAATATTAATCTTGATAACAAATAAAAATATATTAAAACATATTTTATTGCCATGTCCCCGTTGTATCCGTGTCTCCATTTTTGTTTAAATCACTGTGTCCCTTGTCCGCATCCATGTCCGTGTCAACATCTGTATCCGTGTCCGTGCTTCTTAACATATCATTTTTTACTATATCTCATGTTAGTTTAAATCTTCCCCTCGTAACATTTCCATTTATGATTGGTGATCATATCACTCTTTTGTACCATTGTGTCTACCTATCTTTGTTGTATATAACTAAACTATCTTAGTTTGTTCACTCTCAACTTATTTTATTTGGTGCTACTGTTACCATTTCACGAATATATCATTTGTAGTCTTGCTATGCATCCATCTTAGCATGTTTATCTCAATTACACTCATTTTATGAATGTTTTTTCTTAGTTGCCCAATATTTTGTCCTGTAAACATTGTTGGCCTCATAATTCTTCTATAAAAATTTCTTTTAATTTTGTTGGTATGCATCACATAATATGCCAGAAGCATTCCTCTAATTGAACTAGCCAACCTACTTTGATTCTCTAGTTCATGTCATCGCTAACCTCCCATCCTTATTAATAATCGAACCTATGTAATGAAATTGTTCACTCTTTGTTATATATAACAAAAAATTGACTTCATCTGCATTGTTTTCTTTAGAAAAATCAAAGTGGCACCGTGGGACTGATGGATTTAAAGGAATAATTTGAATGAAAAGACTTGAGTCATCATGGACATTCGACTGATTAAAAAGAAACCCTACGTGCTTTAGTTCATAATAAAGAGGCTCCTGTACCTTCTCCTAATAACTATCTACCTACTAATAAATATATACATGTAGCATAATAAACAAGTTATCCTGTGGGTTAAGAGGTGCAAATATATGTCTTCCCTGCTAATGCAGCTTGTTTTCAACTTATACTTCATGTGATAGACAAATTATACTTTCTCTGTTAGACAAATGAAATTCAATAGAAGCTGTCTCTAGGTAGTAAAAGCTTCAATTGCTAAAGTATTAACTTTGAAAGTATATAAACATTGGGTACTAATTTTGGTGAATCATCAATGGCAACTGGAAGTGTAATTTTAAAGTATCTCGTTGGTGCATCCTAGTGATTGGTCATTGCCTTGTACATTGTCCATTTTGTGAAGCTGTTTGATTTATTAAATTTCTCTTGCGAATGTTATTTAACTGAAAATGGAAACCTATGTGGGTATATTGCTATGAGGTAAAACTACATAATGGTATCTCAATATTTTAATGGTAACATTATATCACAGCTCATGGAATTTTAGTGAACCATACATTTCTCCAAGATAATTTCCAAGGCTTTATCTGATTTCAAAACACGAGATAATAAGGCCCTTATCAATTGAGCTGAAGTTTGCCTTTCCTTTATGGTATTGGGTATTGTTTGATACCATTCCAAGTATCATTCACTAATTAATTATTTTTTTTGTCAACTACCAAGCTTCTGTTTTGATTCTTTTAGTTACTTGATCTCAAAATTCCATTGTACTCCCTCTGCTTATTATATGATTCTTGCTTTCCTTTTCAGAAGCCCCAGCTTGTTTGTCCAATATTTGAATTTTTTTAAATTTTAACCATAAGTTTCCTCATTATTGTTCTTTAAATTTATATTTAAAAATACACAATCCCAATTCCCAAAATTTATTCAAATTAGACATGATATTTTTGTAAATCAACCATTCAAAGATGCTTTCCTGAATACGTTTGCATGGTCAACCATGCCGCATAAATAAATGGAGAGAATCTGTAGAAGTTTCCGGAATTTATTTGGAAACATAACACAAGGGACATTACATATGAATAACCCAACTGCACATAATTTGTGCTATTTTTCGGTGTCCATGTTATTTTATTACGAAAAATTGGCTCTTGGTTTGTACATCTTCAAAATTGTTGGGTTCCTCCAATTAAGCCATGCCAATTAAGCTTCTCTGTATGCAATGTATAAGCGAACCTCCCATGGCTTTCAATCTTTTATCAGTTTAAGATGATTGTACTCAAATTAGTAACACTAATAACAGTAACAATACTGATAGTAGTATTAAAAAAAAAAAAAAAAAAAGAAGTGTTAATTACCCATATCTGCAACATGTAATCTGAAAAACTATTATTTTGATCATTTCCATTTATATAAAACATCTTCAGAGGAGATAATCGTTTTTTCTGTTTGACATGATTCAAATCTTATTCTTAACAATCAGATAATTAGTAAAGATCAAAATATTAGAATGTGTTTCAATTACAGTTTCATTGGGATGTACTTATTCTTGAAAACTCAAGTCAACAAAAGTTTAGAACTCCATATAAAATTTCAGGACTTCTGAATTTTCAAGGAAAGACTCGACAAAAAAATTTAGAAAATGGAAAATCAATTAAGTACTGCCAAACATCAAGATGATAAGATGGGGGACATTCTCTAGAGAGAGGATCATCCTCATGATTCTCATGAAAGCTTTTGCAAGAACTAGGAAAAAAATTCATAATGTTCTTTGCAAGAAGTAATGGCATTGATATGTTAGAATTTGTTGAACTTGCTTCTTATCAAGCCTCGTGACATTTGTTTGCGTCAAATTGTGACTAACTGCTAATGCCCTGAATTCATATGCAGCTTCATGAATGTCCCGCAAGAGCAATAGTTAATTTAGTGAAGGAAGCATTTCGTCTGCTCCGACCTGGAGGCACTTTTTCTGTGACAGACAATTCGGTAGTAACTAGCATGACTATTATGGCTTTGTATTCAAGAAATTTTGTTGTGCTGCTAGAAATTAGTTGTATCTAACTACTTTTATTTCTTTCTACAGCCAAAGTCGAAGATCCTTCAGGTATGATAAATTAACTTATTTTTGGCATCGTTTCCTTCATGAAATTGATTAATTTGAAATCATTAGCATTTAAGGATGGCACACGGTAAACGAAATTTGTCATTGTTGGATTCTTAAAGGCACCTACTAGTTGTTTGCTTACCAATAATTTAATAACCTTTAAGAGTGGGTCAAATAAGAGCCAGACAAATTACTTTCTAGTAAGAAAAGTGGACCATCTAAAGTGCAGTGACTGTAAGATGATTCCTGGAGATAGCCTGAACATAAGATTTTGCTACTAGAATTATGCATTAAAGGGTAATACCAAGCTAGGAAGGATAGTTGGCGTGACACCCCGAAACCTCGTAACATCAAGGGAAATTAAATTAACAAAGTAACTTATTAAAAACTTGGCATTTTAAGTAGAAATTTCAACTCTCATACAACCAAAAGTTCAATCAACACAAAATAAAAACTTAAAATGTCCAAGTACAACATTAAACAAAATCATAAAATCCTTAATTGTTAATACATAAGATAATAAAATTTATTCCATTCTAATCGTGGCTTCAAGTCAGTCAAGGCTCTACGTTAGCATCATCTCCATTTTCAGCTTCCATTCCTTCCTCATCAAAATCTAGCATAAAATGCCATGGCAATAGAAATATATGCCATGAGCTGATAAGCACAAAAAGAAAACACAACAAACTTAACTTTTTTTTTTTTGAAAGAAAAACAAGAGATTATGAGCATGATACAACAATATAATTGCAAACATAAATTACATCCAATAGAATAAATTCAACAATTTTAATAAATTGACACTCGAAATCTCACTAAAGATATTTAACTTACAAACCACTAAGCCATGGTCACGGTTAATTTGGACTTCTCCTTAGTTAAATAATTAAGTGTTACAAACTGTGGCTACTAGGGATGCCTACGCCCAGAGTTACATACCCAAATAGTGGCATCCGTGGTCTGCTCCAAGGAACGGTCTGCCAAGGGTATGTATCCTCTCGGTATGCCACCCGCACATCCAACCTTATTCCAAAACCGAATAGCAATAAATGTTCAAATAAGTCTCGTGCCATCTTAGGGTTTTGTGACACGAATTACGTAAGAATTCTCAAAATTAGGGCTTACCCTGATCAACCGATATTAACCGTCAATCGTTAATTTCGTACATTTCATTGATCATTTTAGTTATTTTCCATAATAATCATTTGCGTATGTGTTAATATATATATTTTTTAAATTGTAATAAAATGATATAACATCGATGGTGATCTAATTTTGTATTTATCAAATATTAACACATACGTTCTGCAATAATCAATGAATGTACATATTATTGTAAACAGTTAAATCAAGCCATAATGTGAAATAATAATTTTAAATACTAAAACAAATCACAACGTCACACATGCATGAACTACTAATTTACAAGATTCAATTAAATAGACTAGCACAACACTTATTTTTAAATCTAAAAATAATTGAAGTTGTAATCTTGGTTCTTTTAATATTATCTCAAGAATTTTCAAAACTTAAATTTCATAGTTAAAATTACAAATAAATTATTAAGACAATTGTAAAATTCATATAATTATCAGGAATGTTCTATCAACAAGTTATGGTCATTTTTCAAAAGAGTTTTCCTAAAATAAATTATAAATAATTCTGTAAAATTACAAGAAGTTATATGATACAGATTTGTCACGCTTTCTTAAAATAATTTCACACTAAAATTTACAAATCAAATCTATAATCTAAAATTTGAGGATGAAACTAGACTTCTCAAATTTCATTTTTAACTCAAACAATACCAAATTTGGTCTATTATAGGATTTGTAGTGATTTTTCAAACATAAAGTAGAATCTGTCTAAAAATTCAGATTGAATTAAAATTTCGTATAAATTCGTACAAAACTAAAGTAACTGATACAAAAAATTTTGAATGATCTAGGCATCATTCTTAAGTCTAAAATTTTGTACAAAATTCTGGCAAATTTAAGAACTATGTGATCAAACCAAATAAAATCTTCAATCATCTATTAAATATCACAAATAACACATGCAAGCCTAAATCCAAGACTGTATCATGATTTTAATACTACTAATATATAAACAATCTTTAAACATCTAATATATATCACAAATTCACATGCAACTACAAACAAAGCTCTATCAAGATTTTTTAGCCTCATTGGTATTTTTAATATAATCTGAAATTGAAGAGAAGAATGAGATGGTTTTGAGGGTTTTCCTACTTAGCAATGAGATTGAAATGAGGTGGTGAAATGATAGGAAAATACTAGCTTTTCTTCTTCTTCTCTTCTAGTATCCTTCTTCCTTCCTTTCTTGCTAACACAGTTTTTTTGTACTTTGCTCTCTCTCCCTGATCAGTTAAGGAGAGTTGCATGCATACGTAGACTCATAAACTCAGCCACCTATTCCCCTTCAATATGTTGAATTATCACAAATCCTGACTTCAATCATAACCTATCTAATAGGTTCCATGCAGGTGAACAAGTGGTGAGGTGAGTAACTCTCACCAGCCACCTAATGCAATAAATATATATATATATATATATAGTTTGAATTGAATGATAAATGTGTATAATTGTGTATTTGTGCGGTTTTCTTAAAATCAATTAATCTAAGTTTTTAACGAAGGTATTTAGCAAGGGTAATTACTAAGTTGAATCATTGTCAAAAATAATTACAGACGACAAACTAAATACTCACAAAATTATTATTCTTAACAATATTTTTGTTAGTGACTAAATTAGAATATTTTTTAACTAATTTACACAATATTAAGTTTAAGTAGTTTAGATAAGATTAATTTATTATTCACATCCTATAATGCATTTATAAAAATAATTAAATACGAGTTCTTGCAGTGGGTACCGTAGAACGAGATGGTGGAACCTAGAAGGGGATAAGCTAGAATAAGAATAGAATGAATGAAGAAGGTACTTGGGATTTGGAAGATGATGCTAACACTATGTGAATTTCAATGGCCAATTGTATGAGGAGAATCTCAAGGGAAGTCCTTAGAGAGTCGAAAGGAAAGGGACCCAACTCTAAGGAAACTTGGTGGTGGAAGGATGAGGTTCAAGCGGTAGTAAGACGAAAAAGGAGTGCTTTAAAAAGTAGCTAAATGATAGAACTAAGAAAAACTTTAAGAGCTACAAATTGGCAAATAAGAAGCTCAAAAAACAGTAAGAGATGCTAAGTTGAAAACCTATGACGACCTCTACACTAGACTAGATAGTAAGGAGGGAAAGAAGAGAATCTACAAACTTGCTATGATAAGGGAGAGGAAAACAAGAGATTTTACTCAGGTTAAGTGCATCAATAATGAGAATTCTAAGTTGTTGGTGAATGATGAAGAGATTAAGGAGAGGTGGAAAAATTATTTTGAGAAGTTAAATGAGGAACATGTAAGAAGCTCAAAAGGGGAGGAAGTTATCGATGACAAGAAAAATTAAAACTACAGGTTCTATCACAAGATAAGGAACTTTGAAGTGGTGATTGCACTTAAGAAGATGAAATCAAATAAGATTTTAGGACTCTATGATATCCCCATTGAAGCTTGGCAATGCTTGGTTAAGAAGGGGATTGCTTGGTTGACTGGGCTATTTAGCAAGATTTTATTGACTAGGAAAATGCCAAAGGAGTGGAGGAAGAGTATTTTAGTATCAATTTATAAGAATAAAAGAGTTATATAGAATTGCAATAACTATATAAGAATCAAATTGATGTCTTATATAATAAAAGTATGAGTGAGGGTGATGGAATGTTAATTGTGAGATATAACAAAGGTGTTACAGAATCAATTTGGATTTATGCCCAGTAGATCAACGATGGAAGCAATCTATCTTCTGAGGAGAGTAATAGAAAAGTATAGAAAGAATAAAAGAGATATTCATATGGTTTTTATCGATCTTGAGAAAGCGTATGATTGAGTGCCTTGGGATATAATTTGGTGGGTGTTGGAGAAGAAAGGCGTGACGAAAGGCTACATTGATGTGATTAGGGATACGTATGAAGGTGTGGTGACCACTATTAGATCGTTGAGAGACAAGTGAATTTCCAATTACTGTAAGTCCTTATCTTTTTGCTTTACTTATGGATGAGTTAATAAGAAATATTCAAGATGATGTGCCATGGTGTATGTTTTTTGCAGATGATATCGTGTTAGTTGATGATACAAGAGGAGTTAACACCTATGAAGCATAGGTGCGGATAAGAATACTGGTACGGGTACGAAAAGAGTACGCTGATACAGAAAGAACTAAAAAATTAGGATACAGGTACTGTTAGGGTACATCAATAAATTATTATTATTATTTTTTTAAATTTATAGTTTGAGATTCAATCTAGAAATCAAAGCTCAACACCAAAATTAAAAGGAGAAATTACAAAACCAAAAGAGAAATCATAGTTCAACAATACCAATACCAATACCAAAACTAAGTCTATAAGCTATTTTAATGCTATTAAATAGGAGAAATTACAAAATAAAGTTTCATTCAAAAAGCAAGCTAAGTAAAATTGGAAAACTTGAAACTTCAATTTTCACTTTCATCATTGAATAATACGTCTTTTATTTCTAGCATGTCAAATAAAGGATTTGCAATTTTAAGTAAATCTGAACTCTCTAATAAATTAAACGTATCTCCACTAATGTTCCATAGCTTGGTGTACTCTTGATGTACCAATCTCGTACCCATGAAGTACCTATGGAGTACCCAACTGCCAAAGAATGTATAAAAAGTATTTGATACACATTTTGAGTACCAGGTACGCATACAGTCCTATCGGTACGAGTACCAGTACCTAGTAAGCACTCAGCAACATTTTCGAAGTACCGGTGCTTCATAGGTTAACACTAAATTGGAGACTTTGAGAGAAGCACTTCAATTTAAAGGATTTAGGATAAGCAGAACTAAGACCAAGTACATAGAGTGTAATTTTAGTAACAGTGGAAATGGAAATAGAGGAGAAGTGAAGATTGAGAAGTAAGAACTATCTAAGAGTGAACATTTCCGTTATTTAGGCTCAATTATGACAACGGATGGAGAGATTGGAGAAGATGTGATCCATAGAATTAAGGCAAGTTGGCTTAAGTGGAGGAGTGTGTCTGGGGTACTGTGTGATAAATAAATACCTACTAAACTAAAAGGAAAGTTCTATTACGACGGCTATTTGACTAGCAATGTTATATGGGACGAAATGTTGGGCAACTAACAAGCAACATGCAGATAAGATGAGTGTTGCGGAGATGAGAATGTTAAGGTAGATTGTGCGGCAAGACTAGAAAAGATAAGAGTTAGGAATGAATATATTCGTGAATAGATAGGAGTAGCACCGATAGAAGATAAGTTGAGAGAGAATAGATTGAGATGGTTTGGTCATATACAACGGAGACCAACAGAAGCAATAGTGAGGAGATGCAATATAGTTACGGTAGATGGAAATGCTAGGGGAAGGGGCAGACCTAGATTGACGTGGGATAGTGTAGGAAATAGAGATACGAACCTCTTTACATTGATTAACCAAATAGCCCTTAATAGAGCCGAATGGAGAAGAATGATTCATGTAGCCGATTCCAATTTAATGGGATTTAAGGTTTGGTTTGGTTTAGTTTTATGGTAATATTAGGGGTGTACACGGGTCGAGTCGGCTCGGTTTTACCACTGAGCCGTCACTCGAACCGATCTACTTCGGGTGGAGAAGAGTTCATCCGATTTCGACTCATATGATGATCGAAACCGTGCATGTCGGTTGTTCGGTTTGGCGGATGGTTTTCGGTCGAGTGATTTTCTTCACCATTTTAGTTTAATGGATTTTGTCTCCCTTACAAAATCACAAAACCAAGCACATACACAAAATCACAATAACATACTATACATATCTACTTTCCTCACATATTATATATGAAAGGAACAATGGATAAAATTTGAAAACAGAGAGGAGATATTTGCGATACAGCACCGCCGTTCATGTCTTCAACCAACACTCAGTGAACTCCTCTTTCTGATGATTGCCACCTGTGCTCTTTCATTTGCAACAATCAGTGTCCCGTTCATTACTTGAGCCCAGTTTCCGTGAATGCGATTAGATCTGAGAACTCTGTGTATGAGAGTGAAAGACTTTGAGATGAGAGGGATGATGAGAGTATAAAGGAAGTTAGAGAGATGGAGGAACTTTAGGGTTTCTGAGAGAGAGGTAGAAAGAGGGAGAGAGAGTCGATGGTTTCTGAAAGAGTGAGGGAGAGAGGGTCGGTGGCGTTTGACTGATAGAGAGAGAAAGAGGGACATATGGTGATACTGTTGTATGACACAGAAAAGAGTGAGAGAAAAAGCTGAAGAGGCGTGAGGCAGATACAGAAAAACAGGGAGAGCGAAGCAGGTGTGAGAGACAAAGGAGAAAAGAGAGAGGGGGGGTGAATGCGTGTATGTGAGAGTGAGAGAGCTGAAGAGGCGTGTGAAGGAGGAAGATAAAAATAAAAAATAAAAAGAGAGAGAGAGAGAGAGTCAGAGAACACGTGAAGGGAAGAGACACAAAAAGAAAGAGGGGAGAGAAAAGGACATCAATGTCAGGCACAATTTTTAAGAATCCTTATCACTTGTAACCCACTCCTTATAGTCTATTACAATCAAGTGTTAAAAGTCAATATCACTCTGTCAGGTTATGATGTTTAGAGATAAAAAACACAATATAAGGAGCCAATAGCCAACGTACACGAGTAAAATTATATAATATAATAAATATCGGTCGGATCGGTTTTTCGGTTATCAAGTGTAGGAAACCGTGGCCCGTCCGAAAAAATTAATTTTTTCATTAAAAACACCCGCCACCGACCGTTGGTCATGGAAAAACCGTCCGTGGGTTGATTTTTCGGTTCGGATTGGTCGGTTTCGTCGGATGGTTCGGATTTTTGTACAGCCCTAGGTAATATGATGCATCAATTTGTTTAGGATTAATATTTCTGAATTTGGAATTATCCATGTAAAACCCCATGTTGATTCTAGTGAACAAGAAATGTGCTTCTCCCTTTCTTTGTTAGAGACACCCATCACTTCGTGTTTAAAAATTCGAAGTTCAATATTTGTTGTGTACAAAGTGCTATATATTTTTGGGGAAAACCATAGTTTTTAGTAGATGACATTGCCAAAAAGTCTTTATATTGTTAAATCTTGGATAGGTTCTTGATGGGATTGGCCCACATGGCAAGGCTTGATGTATCTGTTTACCCGCCAACATCAGTTATCAAAGCACCATGAAGTTTAAAAATTCCAATTTTCTTCCCCACATGCTATGTTTGGATCTTGGATTTGTACAAGACAAATTAAATTAGTTGTATGATTGTATCTGTATATCAATGAAATAAAAAATTGGTTTTTTGAGAAATTTTAATTTTTTTGTCTTATCATATCAGTCTTACTAACAAAAGTAGAGAATTTAGTTTTTATTTTCCTTTCCTTTAACAGATACAAGAAAATAAACCAAGCTTAGGGAATATCTGTATGGAAAATACTTTAACATAATACATTGTCACATTGGATTCAAATAAGAACATTACATTTTTTATTTTTATTTTTATAAATAACAAATAAGAAGATAACATGACAATTGGGAAATGTTATCATGTTCTGGAACTTAAAATATTTTGGATGAAATCTACCGATAAGACCACAGACGGACTTAAAGCAGTCTCTTGGGTGTTTTATGTTGCAGGAATTATCTCCAGTACTGTTTACATTGATGAAGAGCACAGAACCATTTTTAGATGAATACTACCTCACTGATCTGGAAGGGACAATGAAAGAAGCTGGTTTTGTGAATGTGCGAACAATTCTCACTGACCCAAGACACAGGACCATGACTGGGACAGTCCCATATTAACAGGTGACCTTTTTTTTCCTCTGGCTGAAAGCTCTGTTAGCTCCTGTGAACCATTGTAGCTGCAGAGGAAAATGAAGTTGTTCCCTCATTGCACTTCTCTAAACAACCCATAAAAATATAAAATAAAAAACCCATGGTAAAATGAAATTTCATCGTCTTAGTCTTACATGCTTTTGTTTGATAAATTTCTTTGATAATGTGTTTGATTCAATTTTATCAGTTTTTGTATAGTCTGAGAGTACATGCTTGTACCGACAAATTCACTTTAGGCTGCATGTTGTAACTTGTAAACCTTGTTCAGCTGCATCCTTCATGGAGAATGATTTGTAGTGGCAACCAAATTTTTCTGTCCATATATGTATGTGTGTGGGTGTGTGCGCGCACGCGAGAGAGATTTTTTTAATGTTTTTTGAGAAATATTTCACTCTGCAAATGTCTCTGCTTAGCATGATAAGTATGCCATGGGGATGCAAGTCATGCAACAATAACTTCAGCACACAATTTTTATTGCACTGCATTATTGCATGAACGTTATTGGTTTGAGTAATTGGGAGTGCAACATCCAATTTGTAAGCAAAGGGGTTAATAATGGAGGTTGTTTAGCAGAAAAGTCAATGAGTGTGCAATTCATTTAGTTTGTGATACTCTGCAAGGATGCATGGAATTTACAGATTCCAAACATTCAACATTGATGCAGCAACAGCTGCTGCTTGCTAAGGATGCCACAGTTTGATTTGGAGTCATTGCCAGCTAGTTTGTTTTGTTGTTTTGTTTTGTTTTGTTTGCTTTAAGCCTATAAAAGAGACTCCAAAATATAACTTCATATCTACACATTTATGGGTTATATGATATACATAGAGGGATGAATAGTTGAGATCATTAGAGTAATACATGTGGTGGTCAGAGTTGTTAATATGGTACCATACCAGCTGGTACGTACTGTACCAATGTTGGCTACACATTTTGTGCTAGCCAGTGACAATTCGACGCGTGGCAAAGTAAGGGTAATATGGGGAGACCAGGTAGGTCTTCGATCCTGATCATACACGTGGCAGTCACTATTGGTTGTTATAAGATCTGAGTAGTAGCGGATCAACAAAGAGACATACGGTGACGTGGCTTCAACGGTTGCTCACATTCAAATTCGAATATAGGGGGGAAGCCTAACTGCAAGTGAAGGCGTAGTGGAACTACTTATGAGGTAGCATGATCAGCGATTATGGAGGAGCAGTTCGACGGTTTGAAGTACAATTCGATGGTTATCTTCGGAAAGTATAAATAGCAGGAAGGACTTCAGAGAAGGGGACGAAGAAAGATCTGAAGAATTACTTTACATATTCCAGTGTTATTTCCTGTCCTTTATATTTCTGTACTTTAAGTTCCTGCGCTGCACTTCATTTGTAGGAGTAGTTTTAGAGTATCTTGCCGCTGTAATTCTCTACGGAACTAAGATCATTGTAAGTTTCTCATACTAATGAAATGCTTCAGTTTATTTAACTGTTCTTATGCTCAAGTTCTCTGAAGTCAAATTACCAATAAGCCATCAGTAAAAGTCCTCTTCATTGAGGCTAAAAGAACCATAACACAATCGTCTGAATAATTGGTTGGCAATTACAATTCTGTAAGGACTGATTGATCCTTGCTGGCACGCTCATAATTACAAAAGTAACATTCGAAAGCCAAAAAGCCAACATATATTTTTGGCATGCCCATGGGACACTTTAAAAAAAATGGCTAGACATAGGAGACAAGGAGAGAACGAACGATTGGAAGAAGGCGTGGAAGGAGAAGTGGAGACATCCAATCCAGAGGATAATGTGATAACACATCCTGTGGAGACTCCTATTTTATCAGAACCCATGGTCGAACAAACCAATACTTCAGAGCAAATGCCATTTGTTCGTAATAGTGGATGAGACCAAGAAATTGGACCATCCAGTGTCCCATCTACCCAGCCAGTCAACCCGTGGGGCGGCTTAGTAGATGCTATGGGACAACAATTAATAAACACAATGGAAAGGTGGGCAGTATCCTTTTTGGATCGAATGAATAACCACCAACCAACAAATGTAAGACACATGGAGTAAGTAAATGTCCCTCAACAAAGATTGGCTAGACAGCCTATGCAAGCTAATGGACATTCCAATAGTCAAACCAGTGATCAGACTCATGAAAGATTACCACCTCAGTCTTGGTACGAACCCATTTCAAGGCCTGCGGCAGGCCAGAATGCCTTAATATTTAACAGTGAAGCCATGCAAATTGGTGGATCTGGCCCAGTACAAGAAAATGGCGTAAGAATGGTTCCAAATCCAACATTCGAAGCCCTACCTGGTACTAGGGGGTTCAATAATCCCTTATTCGAATTTATACACGGGGGGTTGGAAGGTTTCCCTAAAAGTGGAAGGGATATAATACCTGTTCCAGCACCTTTCGTGGGTCCTTTCGTAGGACAGGCTCAAAAGAGGTTACTTACACCCCCAACAGCAGCCTGTACCACAGGGACAACCAGTCCCGAATGTACCACCTTATGGACCAAGGGGACCACAAACACAAGTTATCTGCCAAATCCTGTGTTTGTTCCCCCAGTAGTGGTTCAGCAGGCACAAAATATGGTTCCTAGGACCAAATTACTGAGATAGTTAGGGAGTTGTGTGGGCCAATGGCTCGGGGGGTCCAAACTCCTGTGTATAGAAAACCATACCCAGAATGGGTCGACAGGGTACATGATATAAGGGGTTTCAGGATACCAGATTTTGTCCTCTTTCATGGGAACGGGAACCAATCCACAGTAGAACATATTGCTAGGTTTGCCGCTCAGTGTGGTGAATTTACCAATCATGACTATATAAAGTTGAGACTATTCCCAAATTCTCTAACCGGAGGAGTATTTGTATGGTATATTAACCTTCCATCTGGCTCCATCCAGACTTGGCAGCAAATGGAAGAGGCATTTCATGCCCAGTTCTTCCAATCAGAGCCAGAAGTTTCCATGGCAGACTTGGCAAGATTGAGTCAAAGGCCTGAAGAGAAGGCTACTCAGTTTATTTCTAGATTTAAGAGGGCTTGAAATAAATGTAGAGTAATCTTGCCAGAAACGGAATTCGTAAGATTGGCTCAAAATGGCTTAGAGTTTAGGTTTCGAAAGAAGTTTGACTCAACAGAGTTCAGGGACTTAGTGGAATTGACTTACAAAGTATCTAGGTATGAAACATTACTAGAAGAGAAGCAAGATCGAAATAATGCATCATACAAGACAAGCTACAAAGATCATGAGATTGATGCAACAGAGATTGTGGGGAAAGAACCTGTGATTTGTGAAGCATTAATTCATAATGATACAACAATTGACCAGCAGTTTAAAAAGAAAGATCTCCACAGGAAATATTCTTTCGATTTAACTAAGGCAGATGACATTTTTGATCATTTGCTTGCGGCCAACTTCCTTAAGTTACCAAAGGGTGTTAAAATTCCATCTCTTGATGAACTTAAAGGAAAAATATATTGCAAATGGCATAATTCTTGGTCTCACTCGACTAAAAACTGTGTTGTTTTTCGAGACAGGATCCAAGAACAAATTCGGAAAGGGAGTTTGAAGTTCCCAGCCAAAGCTGAAAAAGCCATGGGGATCGATAGCAATCCATTTCCAGAAATTGGAGAGGTGGCAGCCAATGTCATTATGTCAGACTTTCAGAACCTGTCTTTGAAAGAATTGGAGGAAGTCAATGTACAGATGCATGTGGCCAACCAGACAGCAACCAAAAAAGACCTTGGAAGTCCACCAGCTGTGGAACGAGATTTCTCACATCAGAGGGAAGACTCTGATGAAGAAACATTGGATGATGACTCCTTAGAGGCAGCCGTAATGCAACGAATGTGTCCCAGGTGCAGACTAAGTTATAAGTAGTTGAAAGGCCTTCCAGTCGATGGGAAGCAATATTACAGGGATGTGCAGAGGCGTCCCAAACCAACCAATGCTTATAATAAAAGGCCGTATCCGGCTAATGTTAGGCGGCAGCCATTGGTGGTTGAGCCTGCAGTTGATAGAATGCATCCTAAAGGCAAGAGGCCCTTATATGAGTCCAGATCACCTAACTTTTACAGGTTGGACAGAAGACTGGAGAAGAGTTCAGGTTTTGGGATCAAAGCCAGGAATTGGCCCTTTGGGCCAGCTTCACGAAGGACGGAAAATGATCACCATCATCAAGAACCTGAATCAGGCTCAAAGCTTGGAGACAGGGCCAAACAATTGTCTTCACAGCCAGCCTCGAAGGTGACTTCGAAAGAAGAAAGAGGCAGTTCAACGTCTGGGTCAGTAAGTTCGTGGGTACCTAGAGTCCCAGATTGGTTTGTGATGCAAAACAAACCTAGAGAAATGCCTACCCAAAGGAATTTTGAAAATCAAAGTAGGATGGTTAAGCCTCCTTTGGTAGCCCCCAACAACTGGGTATTGCTAAAACACCCAAGAACGAGGGAACCAGATATGGTCCCTGTTATTTTCAAATCACAAAGGAGGAAAATTCAGCGTAGGTACACCTAATACCAGAAAGACCTGAAAGAAAGTGGAGAGAGTTCTTCGATGATCCAGACTGGAGAAAAGAAGAATCGAAAGTCAGACCATAATTCAAAGCCAGTTACACAAAACGAGGTGGATCGCAGCAGAGAACAGTTGGCTAAGGTTCATTCTGAACTAAAAGTCAGAGAGAAGGAAAGTCTAGCAGGGTTGGAGAAAGCTCTGATGGAGAGTGGTAGCGAAACGGAAGAAGATATTGGCGTAAGCCAGAAGAAAGAAATGGTGGAAGAAGAAATGTTCGAAGCTTTCATGGCCGAGCAAACATTTCTGGTTGGAAAACCAGTCGAGAAAAATCATTCGAAGGGACCCGTTAGCAATGAAATACCAGAATGCATCATGCAGGATGTTTCTGAGGTAATTGACCAAGGTGACCAAGAGGAGAAACAGGTACAGCCAGTCATCCAGTTTGGCTCGTTTCCCCCGGTATCAGTGAACATGGTACACATACTGCCACAGGAATTCCAAGCTGGAGATGAGAATCAAGAGGGACAGGAAGCTGATCCAATTCCGATCTCTAGTGAAGATTCACAAGCGAGTATGGTACAAGATAATTTCGAAATGGTTACTCCAATGGAAGCTGAATATGAGAGCGAGGAAGTGGTGAGCATTAACCTCTCGTATCCATTCGAATATCTCTCGAATTCCATGACGCAGCATGTTAAGCCTTTGTACATTAAGGCCTTCTTCGATGGGGTTCAGTTTAACCGAGTCTTGGTGGATAATGAAGCGGCGGTGAATTTATTACCAAAATCCTCCTTGAAGAAATTAGAGAAGAGGAATCCCAGGTTGATCCCAACCAGTACAACCATCGCTGGTTTTGCTGGAGATAA